AATAAGAAGAAGAGCATAGAATCACAATTGGCTGTTTCCAATATAAATCATTAAAGATATTCTTTCGTTCACACTGTGCTTTGTATTAGTGTTAACTTTGTAACAAAAGAGTGCCACAGTGGTGTTTCTTTTCTTACTGACAGCAAACGATTCATTCACACTATTCAGTTTTACAAGAGTTTAGTCATAGTATGAGTAACATATCTACAAATACGCTTAACCGGAGTTTGGGTGCTAAGCGTGTAAATCTCAAATAAATATCTTCGAGGGTGAAGATAGTTAAAGAGAGTTCCATAGATTATTTCTTATTATCTAAAATAATTCTATGACTATCCCTATCATGTACTGGAATAAGCATTATTGTAGTTGACTAACACGAATTGAGGAATGCTAAAAAGAATCCTAAAAGAAAATCTTAAAAAACAGACTGATAAATGTAAATGCATGATAAGTTCACATAAAGAAAGTTACATGTGTTCATAAAAAATTAACTTAAAATCTTCATATCTAATCAACATTCCACTGATTTGTTTCGTGTCTCAAGTTAATACAATATTTGATGCAATCATTGATGCCTATTCAAAGTTAGTGATTCAATGCTTAAACGATACATTCCAAATTTCCATTAAAATGACTGACAATTAGTCATAATGACTCATTCATTCTTCATCCTCCTTAATATTTAAAATGCTTTGCTAATCTGTATTCACTAGTCGTCTTACCATTGATATTTTCCTTCGTATTTGGTTACTCAGTTTAAGAAAACTAAACCGATAAACTTCGATTTATGTTATTCTCTAGTGGCTATATCGCATATACCTGATAATTGTAGCATCATAGTCCGTTGCTATGACGGTTTAATGACAAGTTATATTGCTTGTATGCTTTTTAAATGAAATTTTCGCATCAAAATTTTTGTTTACTGGTATAAATACTATTGGTGTAGCATTATATTCCTGAACTGCGTTTCATTTGCTGCAATTTTATCGGCGAATCTTGTTTGATACTGATATCTGACCAATGTACTGGATTAAAGAAAGTTCAAAAGTTAAACGTATATTATTGAATTTTCATGCAATTATGCTGGTATATTTTAGCCTATTTATTGAAACACCCAGATACTCACCGGTGGTGCTGTGGTGAGAGCTGGCTGTTAACCAAAATTGGTGAACGGTAATTTACGTCAATGTTTATGTAACCAATATATAATCGTGAGAAAAATGAGAACAAAGGCTTTGCGTAGGTGGATACAGTTAACATATAGATGATCTGACATTCAAGAAACAGTTAGAAAGAGATGCAAGGTTAACTTTCTGTGAGAAACAACCAATCAGAGGGCTGTGTTTTTCTGCTAACAATAATCTATAATATGTACATGAAAATCTATAAATATGTGTTGATTTCCTTAATAAACGACCTGTTGTATGACCCTTGTCTTCTGTTGTTAAAGTGCCACTTCAAAAATGGGATATGTCAGATAGTCGTCCTCGTTCTGTCTATAACCTATTTCAGTGAAGTTTTGTCTTCTGCATTAACAACTGGTGCATATTAACATACAAACAGAAGTATGCTATATTTCCAAACAATTTCAGACCCGTTTCAGATTAATTTTGCATTGATTGATTGTGTTGGACAGAAATGCTTGCTCACTCTTGACATATCAGCTCCCAGAAGGAACATTTCAACGATGTCTAAGGATTAACGTGAAGTTTTTTTGACTGGTGGTGACTAGCAGTGGGATCCAGGATGCGTGTTTCGCCCAATTTGGGACTCGTCACCTGGACAGAGCTGCATTCTCAGGGGTGGTGGTGTTACTGTTGACACTGGAACCCTGTATCCAACGTCTCAAACGCCAAAGCAGTTTCAGCCTTAGTAGGTGAGTCCCAAAAAGGAGAAAACGCATATCCTGGATTTCACCAAAATAATTTGAGACTTCACTAAACATGAAGTTATAACTATCAACGTAGACGGTTTCTAACCTATTTAAGGGGATTCAAACACAAACAGTTCTGTCGTCCAAGTTGAAAACTTTACAGCAGTCCACTCCCACGATGTTATCTGGAAAGTGACCCTTTATTGTTGGAGTTAAAAACGAATACGTTACTAATCAGTAGGATATTAGGAGTCTCATAAAATATGCTTTATAACTCCTATCACAGTAAAAGGGTACATTGTTTCTTTCGAAAGATAAGAACTCACCTTAAAGTCATACGGGAAAACCATCAACCAAACAAAACACCAATCAGCATACAAGGTGGTATGAAATTATGCTGGTATGACACCATACAGAATTCAATGACAGATACTGTCACCAAATAGTTTGTTACATATCAGCTTTCACTTTACAAACTATTGAATGGAAATAAATGAAAAGAAGTCTCGATAACAAGAAATTCAATTAGGAGTGTTATCGACGAGGATAAGTAGGAAAATTCGATGCATGTTTTGATATTATCATCTTATAAATGAACCGTTTACAGTACGCGTGTGTGTGCAAATATGACAGAAATTCTCTGACAGATGACCCAAACCCGATTTATGTATTCAAAAATGGGTCATAGTGAGTTGGTATCTACCTAAGTAAATTACTTGTCGATTTTTTATTCAAGTTGATTGTTATGCTTTACTGGAAAACGGATACTAACTTTACGATAACATAGTTTACTAAACTCCTGTGTTAACATAGTCTAAATTCGAATAAATGACATTGACTCAGTATATTTTTCATAATACCATAGTAACTTTTTAATGTCAACAGCTGGAAAGATGTCATAAAAAGGTGGATTTATTTTATCCTGTCCCAACTCTAGTCATTGATCTCGTCAAGTTTATCAATGAACATTCTTGCATGTAAGTCTCTATGACTAGAGAAAAAAATAAGATTTTCAGTATTACACTAAATACCTTGGAAATGACATCTCAAGTCCTGACAACATGGTTACTTCTCATGATGTTTGTCACATAGAGGAGGCTGAAGTTAAAACTAAGTCGACGGTTTGGTTGACTCACGTCCAGTTGATATTTAGAAAAATATTTCACCTAATCCTCTTCATTAGGAAGTAAAAACAATCTGGCATCAACCAGACCCTACTTTTATAATTTGTTAACTCTTGCATTTTGTCTATTCTTCTTTATTGTTTTACTGTTATTCTTTGGTGGACTACTTAAGAAAGACTTTGTAAAAAGTACTAAAAGCCGTCAGTAGGGCGAGTGATGTGTCTACACGTCAGCTCATTAATACTGTTGCTGAAAGACATTTGAGCTCACGCAAGAATTCGGTAAGAGTTACCTGATCGGACTGTCATAACCCTCTTTATTCACAACTCACCTCTTGTATCTCATCAGGTAGGATTAGAAGCATTTATAAAAGAATTTATTTTCACAAGAATAAACATAAAAACTCAACAATAGCACGCATGTGATGAAAGTGTCAGGCATGAAACTGCTAACTTACTACGAAACACCAAGTAAGCAGCATGTTTTATTCTACTTATTATTTAATTTATTGTTGTCACTAACCCTGTCAATTTAAAATTTGTTTTTACATTACGCTAATGACATTGTTATTACGTCAAAAGAGTACTGTAATTATTTTATTATTGTGTGATGTTGAGAGAAAATTAGATGCAATATTGTACAATATGCTGAGAATTTCATGCTGTATCAGAAATACAATTTGAAATAAAGCCATATTATTAATAATCTTTGAAGCCACAAGTTACCATCATGGAAAGGAGTTGCGTATCCGCCTCACGATTGCCTCATAGAATCCGAGATTGCCTGCATCCTACCATCCGTCTAAAGGAAAACACCCTGTAGTGTAATTTCTGAGTCCTGTTTCTTAAGTTTGCAGTCTCCTGTCAACTGATATCACATCAAATTTGCAAGTACATCCATCAACTTAATGAATTTCTTTAGGCTGCACTCAGCTGATGAGGAGCCGACGAAATAAGCGATGTTACCATCACAAACCGTTGTTAAGGTAACCAATCACAGCCAAAGTTATCAGAAGAGACATTTACCTCATGAATCGAAAATTCCAGTAAAGCCTCACTTCATATTAAGCTCTGAAGATATTGTCTCGAAAGAAGATGAAGGCTTCACAACGCAAAGAGCACAAAAACGAATTAATGTACAAATCCCATCTTACGGAAATTATCATCAAATTAGCATACATTTACTAAAAACTCTGCAATCATGGACTAGACAAACACGTCACATTAATAGAATGAGAACTAATGATACTCTATATGGCTACTTAAACTACAGTAAAGGCAAGGTAGGTTTCAAAATTGCTATCCTTTGGTTGAGATTCAACTGTCTATATTGATATATAGGCTGTGTCCCTATAGGGCTTTTTGACTGACTTTTCGATACCATAGTTATAGGTGAATAGAAGAAATCTTTCAAGAATTCTAAAATTGATTCGTATTTGGAATAGACAAAACAGTTGAACGCTACGTTAGTTTGCATACTTTATTGCATTTAAAAAAAAAGTGAAAATTATTTACAATATTTCAACGGGGGGAAGACAGTAATCAGTTAACTGTAATTAGAAAAATGATAGCATGAAAAGAAAGAAAATGGGCTGAAGTTCTAAGTTGTTTAATTATTAGATACACATTAATTCCCTGTTTTATTCAATTCTTTCATAGAATAAAATATACGGTTGACAGTTAAGCACAGTAGACTCAGATACACGGGTCACACGACTGTCTGAACAGTAATACCATAAACGTGAATCTTTGGCGTTGTCTCCACAATACACTGAATTACCATTCATCTCAGTATTATTTATATGATTTGCTTCAATTCCATTCTGAGGTTTCGACAACAGATTGGCAGATGACATTAGATTATTACACCCTGATAGGAGTTGGTAACGATCACACCGACGGAGGCGTTGAATTAAATCCTGAACAGATAATGGCCATTTAGGCGAACGATTCAAAGGACCAATAAATCGATTCATCAATGGCTCAGTTTGATTATGACACGTATTATTATTACTATTGTCTTCATCTGATTTGGAGACAGCTACATAAGCAGCATAGTGGCCCGAGGACAGTTGTCCTGTATGTTCAATTACGCCATAAAGACGATAACGTATCTGATTAGAATAAAACTGTAATGAAAATAAACATGGATAAGGGGCGAATGAATATGAAGAGTATCCGATTGGGACAATCTCATGCATAATAAATAAAGTATTATAAAGTGCTACATTTTAAAATTCAGAACGACATTTAGTAGTGGAATTGGAGTATGCAGATTACACAACGAGGTTCTGTCACATTGGAAAAATGGATTAGATAGTTCTATAACCAAAAGCAGTGGTCATCGTATGAAATCCATAGGATAGAGTTATATCGCTAGCATATTTAGTCATCATCTCATTCTGCTACTTGTTCAACTTTTGCTTTTTACCCCTACTTAACTTTATCACTCTTTATTCTTGACTTTACCTTCAAGTGTTTGTCCTCCTTGTTAGAGGAGTACATCATATCCCCATAAAATGAGACATACAGTAATAGTATGACTACGCTAAAAATTGCAATATACAACAGTATCTTCTTAAGCAGTAAATTAGGAAAAATAGTTCAAACAAATTCAAATATAAACCGTAAATATCAACAGCTGAGAAGGTATCTATTAAGGTGCAAATGAAATATCGATTTATTTAAAAAAAGTTGAAATTTAGTGTGAGGAAAGCACCTCTAACATGAAACTAAATGCAAACGATAGAAATTGAAACATTCCATCGTCAGGACAAGAAGAGGAGGTGGATTAAAAACGGACTTGTGATAATAAGCTAACTAGGAAGGGAAATGTCAGTCAATAACCTCGTCTAGTTCACTAGCTTCCTAGCCGGTCTTAAATCAAAGAAAAGAGGGAAGGTTGGGCATGCGACTAGAGACCCTATACCCGGAAATCAATCCAGTCGCTACAGTAGCTTCAAAGCAATACAAAAACATCTAAAACAAAATCATTCTTCCTAGGGATCGAAGAGACAAAACGACGTGGGTTGGTGAAAGCCTTCGGGAAGCCAGTCAGCAGATGTGCCTTCTTTAGATACAAACAAAAATAAGCATGGAGACATGAAATATCCACACGATGTACGAAGCTAGGAAGGCTGCTCACACTGCAGAAAAAGATATGGCACAGAAGTGCTAGGAATCTGTGAGATCACCTGGAGTGGTTGCGGACTCTCCAGATTGTTGACTAGAGAGTCAATAATCTGATCCGGTTACCCGGATGACAACCACGAGCACTAAAATGATGTCATCAACAGTTGTCAAAGCTCTTATGTAGTGGGAACCAATCTCCTCTAGGATAATGACTCAGTAAATAGAACATGCGAGGGTCAGGGTTATTCGTTTTGAAATGTGTTTTTCAAAAACTTTTCCAGATGTTCAAGTTCAGATCAATTCGTATCGACATTAAAGTTTCATTATTCTAAATACGGTGTCACTTATGGTCTAGTACATGAAAAAGCGCACATCAAGAGAATGAGAGAGAGAGAGAGGAAAAAAGGATCATTCGTGTAAACTTTGTTACTGTGAGAACCATTCAAAAACAGACATACACACAAATGATGCAACTTACCACAGTAAGAACTGAACAAAAAGGAGATAGGTCCAAGTAAATAGGAAAGTTTATACGCTTTTGTGATTTCTGTACGTGTACACCAAGCTACAGAATATATATAAGACAAAGACAAATATAATGTTTATGCCTTTTTAAAGTCATGATAAAGGGATGAAAATGGAGGTAAAACTTATCAGGTAAAGGAACTGTATCTACAAACGCATCACAGCTCTACATCACCTGTGGGATAGAGCAAGATAATAAAGATCATTTTAGGAGCACTTTCATCTTTTTTCAGAAAACAACGATTGTTGGTCTGCAATACATGAGCGTTAAACAAACTCATGGAGGGTGAACAAATAAGTAGTGCATATGCAACCTAAACAAAACCCGAACTGCTTTTAGTCATGCACTCATCTGCCAGGTCTGGAAAGCATAGTATCAGTCAATATTTCGCTGTCTCCAGTAACACTTTGGTGATAGCCACATGTATATTCATAGGCCTTTTTCGTGTAATGATTGATACGACTATAAAAGAACAGTTGAAAATCTTTAGTACAGTTGGATGCCTTTGATATTGTCAGATGAGTTGAACAATTTAATCGCAATGATTCTGGACGAAATCAACAGCCTCAAGATAAGCGAGCTTGTTGAACTCTTCATAAGTGAAATAATCATTCCTCCGAATGACCCTGATTGCGATCGGTCGTCTCGAGGAATTCATTTTATTTGTATGTGCCAATTGTTTAGTAATTTAATCTTTAGATCATGTGCCTCTTCCTCGTTGGCTGATAAATTTGATCCATGTTAACATGTCTAGTGATCGCAAACAGAATCTACTTAGCATTCTTAATGTTCTGTCTGTCAACAATTTACATATTTTCCCGTGTAAATTAATGTCTGTAGTTCATAAATACAAGGCATGACATACCTTGACTCACCTGATGATTTGTATTCACAAATCCGACGATGAAGCGAAAATATACAATTACTAAGGTAGTATTTTTTTTATATTTTCAGCTTGATTCCACACTGTATTTTTTGGTACATGTATGTGATATGGGTAGCCCAAATTTTGCAGGCCGACCAAAGATATCAGGTGTGCGTCCGCAAGGTATCGAACCCCGGACCATGTACATGGTCGGCAAGAGTCCTAACCGCTGTGCCACCGACGCACACTTTTTATCAATAATATTTTTGAGATTCTTTTGAAACTCCTCGTAACGAATGTCGTTTAAAATCGATATAATCACTTTAGCTGTGTAATAAACTGATTATGTTGGCTTTAAAGGACATTTATTGCAAAAGATTTCAAAAGAATCCTTCCCATTAAATCTATTGATCAGACGAACTGCACCAAATATTTTTCAAATAACCTTAATAAATGTGTATGGAGGTGTGGATCATCTACTTAGAGCACTAGACTTACAGCCAATGGGTTATGGGTTCCCATCACCCTTCACCTGTTTCAGACCGGGCACCTGGGCAGTATTTCAGCCCTCATACAATAAGCGTGGCTCATAGAATGACACCTAATAACTGAGTGCTAACTGACTAACTATTACATAAATAGGTAGAATAATATTCAATATAGTAAAGGTTTTCAGGATTTCATCATGAGCTGACATTGGTTAGAGAACCATTGGAAAACCACCTGGGAGTACTGGAAAGCTGTTTCGTCCTAGTTTGGGACTCTTCATCAGTACTCACCCACCGGGATTCGAGCTCAGGACATTCTGGTTACGAGACTAGCGAGCTCGTATACCAATAAGCCGCTAGGACCCGACCCGATGGCCCATGAATTCTAACTTCTACCAATTCACGACATGGCGCGACATCTAGCCAATGTCTTCGGCGAGTATTTGTCCTCACACCCGACCTGCTGCACCCTACTGGTCACGACTTCTTGTACTTGTTGTACCTCTTGTTTTCTTGTACTTCCCAATGAATGAAAAACAAGACGATATCGACGCTTTTAGCCTCCAAAGCCCCAGGATGGTCGGGGGTGGGTGTTTTGCGCTGCGGGTTGGCCACCCCTCCGTACACCTCTTGAAATGCTCCCATATGACCGGGCGTCTTACATAGCCTCTCCTGAGAAAGTCCTACTCACTGCCTTCACGTGGCGGAGGTGTTTTTCACCGAAGTGAGAGGGCAAAAGCGGATGCCCGGCGCTCTTCCCCGGGTTGACTGTCCATTGGATGACAGTCTAGGGGAGATGGCTAAACCCTAATTCCAAACCTCCAACGACTGGCATATGAAGCTCACCGGCAGACGTATGGACAAAGGGCTTATTGGATGCCCTGCATGACTGGCCCCATTCAAAAAGGCGTATGAACCGGACTCTGGTCACCGGCTGTCAATGGATAGTGGACTCCCTACTCCACTCCTACTGCCTTGTAGGTCACACTTGGTTGTGTAAAGGCTAGAGCTGCACTCTCAAACAAAAGGCCGAGCGATGCTGGGGACATCACTCGTACCCAATTCCCATGAAACTTCATGGTTCATGAAGCCGGCTCATCTTCCCGTAGGAGATAGCCGAAGTAAAGTAAGTAAGTTTTACTGACGTTTCGTTATTTAATTCTAATAGCTTTATCAAAGTATTATTAAACCAGAATTTAAAAAATCACAGTTTTTATATAAAACAACTTAATCATCGTTCCTCAGCATGGAGTCAATTTTTGCGTTGTCAAATTGGCCAATCGGTAAAGATAACAAAACCAGGTGTAGATTCTTGGATTTGATAAGTGTGTAAAATTATAAAAGCAACGTGTTTACATAATGAAATTGCTTATCACATTCGTGTTGATATTGTCATTTCATGGGGAAGGGAGGTGCTGTAACCAGGTCGAATTCTGTTTCAGTCCATCATTCAAACTATTCAGACAATTTGGATTCCATTTGATATAAGGTGTTCCTGATATTAGACGTTCTTAGACTTGATTTCCAAAGTTTTTCTGGATTATTTCAATATTGTGAAAATCAATTATGTGGCTTGATTCGATGACGTGAAACCTATGACTGGCTGATGATTTCTCAAACTTTTCTAGTTCAACTGGATTTCTCAGTGGCCGAACAGATGCTCTGCATTGTTCATTTCTTCTGATTTTGATTTCTTGAGATGTTTGTTCGATGTATATCGCATCACATTCCAAGCATTCTATTTTATAGACACAATTAGACAGAAAATCTCTAGGGATTTCGTCTTTAATAACACTCTGATAAAGCTAATAGAATTAAATAGCGGAACGTCAGTTTTTTATTCATTTATTGGGAAATACAAGAAAACCTTTATTATATTGAATATTATTCTACATATTTATGTGGGAAGTCGTGACCAGTAGGGTGCAGCAGGTCGGGTGTGAGGACAAATACTCGCCGAAGACAGTGGCTAGCGGTTGCGCTATAAAGTGGACTGGCGGAAGTTAGAATTCATGGGCCATTGGATCGGGTCCCAGCGGATTAATGGTCTACGAGCTCGCCAGTCTTGTAACCAGAATGTCCTGAGCTCGAATCCCGGTGGGTGAGTACTGATGAAGAGTCCCAATCTAGGACGAAACAGCTGTCCAGTACTCCCAGGTGGTTTTCCAATGGTTCTCTAACCAATGTCAGCTAAGGATGAAATCCTGTAACAAATCAATCAAACCCCTACAAACGAATACCTGAAAAACAATATCTCTTTGTTTCCCATTCATTGGGAAATACAAGAAAACCCTCACTATAATGAATATCATATACCCAATGCCCAAATTTTTTCAAATGGTTAAAAGTGAACTTGGTTTGGACATATATAAAATGTAGAATAGACATAAAAATATCATTTCATCATTCTAAAGGTAAAACTAAATAGGCGATAGACAAGTGTGTGAGGTTCATCTATTGCATGAATATACATGACTAGCAAAAAGAAATTTTTTGTCGAATGATTAGTTTCCAAAGAAGCTTAGACTTTCACTAGACGAAGATAAAGCCTCCAATGTGCATCCAAACAAAATGCTTAGTCGTTAACTTTTTCATCTAAATCACAACTACATTTTCTTGTCTTCTGCACTTCTCTTTATCACTGATACCAAAACATCGAGATATCTTGTTCAGGTAATCTACACTTTCTATCCTTTTTATTTCTAACAGGTTAAACCAATATCCTGATGTGTCTTTGTGACCATTTTTGCTACTAGTCTTGATAACTTAATTCTATCAAAACCGTAATAACGTACCTGTTGAAATCTTTTCAAATGAATTGTAAGAATAGGCGGAGGTTTGTATATTAAATCACGCTTGATAACATCTTGTAATACGGATGGAGCATCAGGTTTCTTCTCACCATTCACTGTTTCCATATTTGACTCCTTGTGCTCTGATTCTATTGATCGCTTACTGCACACATCACAAACTAGACGATTACAACCGGTTAACACTTCAGCAGCAGTGTATTTTGAAAGACAATCGTAGATAGAAGTAGTAGAATTGTCACCACTGCTGGAATAACGATTTTTACCAAGTGGTATTCGTGAATAATGAATGGCTTGAACCACTTCATCTGGATCATATAACAACTGAGATGGTGTAGACGAATCTAAGTGGAGTTTTTTTAAATCATCAACAATAGTGAGCAATGTATTGGTGTTATTTGCTTCCGTAGGCTTTGAATTCTCATCACAACCATTGTCAACAAGTTGGAGTGAAGTAACACTATCGTGTCGATCACTGCCTTCAATATCTGCACAATTTCCTGAAATAATAAAGAAACAATCAATTAATTAGTGTACAAATAAAAAATCTGGGAGTGATCCTAATTTTTCTTCTAAAAATGAAAGTACATGCTAGCAACTTTTCAGTGGTAAAACACTATTCTCGGTGAGTATTATACTACATTCACTTAACTACAAGTTCGTTACAGTCCCCTAAAAAAATATTGAGTGGATGAAAGTGTCTCTTATGTCTTTTGACGAACCAAAACAACCAACCCAAGAAGAAAAGATAATCAAGACAGCATCTGTCTAGCCAAACGTACAATGCAACTTGAATAATACCAGGTAGGTTATTTTATCTGTTGCACTTGGTGCAAAGAAGGAAAAGTTTGCGAATATTTCATTAAGTAAACAATGTTAGATGGCCACCAACTTTATCAGTGCAATATATATATATATATATATATATATATATATCGGGGGCCAATTAAGGAAGAGACAATTTCTACAAAGTCTCTTTGAGCACTCATACTGTAGAAGTACGTAGAACTTTGCCAATATGACGACAAGTAGTCTGTTTGTTAAACATATCACAGAGTGAATGATATTGTTCACTAGAAGACGTTTTGAACACAACTAGCTGTTCTTAAATATTCCATAACTTTCAAACAAAGTTTCAGAGAATATAGACACAAACAACTGTCTTGGACCCTGTTGATAGTCATCAGACAATTTGTTCATCACAAATTTACACCATTTATCCTCCCTTTTTCGTGCGCTCTTCTGAAATATGACAACTTCAACTCGGGAATAACTGTGGAAAATTCCAAATCCATTTCTCTATCGTTCCTACACACTGTTCACTAAACAAGTGACTAACTTCACCAGGACTTCAGGTGATAATAGTTACTTTAAACGCAACAATAAGTACACAATTCGATATAATCCCATATTAAAATCCCGGTCATAAACTTATTAATGCTGAGCAGTGAAATGTAGGACGTTTATCTCATCATTTTCAAGACTCATCATCCGGATGTATCTGCATCACAGTAGGTTGTTGCAACCATAAAGACTTGGGAAGAGTAACTGCTGTTCCAACTACACTGATACTCATTGAACACAGGGCATGGGGTGGGGGCTTTGAAAAGATGGATGGTGAATACAAGTTTCAGTTGGGAACTTAAAAATCCCCAGTGAGTCAAATGAAAGAAAAGACTTTCAGAGAACAGTAACTCTTTTCAGAGATACCATTCTCAAGCTGTACAATCGTATACATATGCAGTAAGTTCCCTTAGCAACAAAAGGAGTATTTCCGAAGATGTATCATCAGAATTGTAAATATTAGATAGCAAATTACGTAATATAAAAAGCGTGTGCACCTATTAATTCACCTGCTCATGTGGAGCTAGCTGTGTCGGCCGTCTGACTGTTTTCGACATAGAACTTTGCACAAATGTGCGGCAGTTCAAGTCGCCACACCCTCTCCATGTGGCACACAAAGCAACAGAAGAAAGTACAAGAAAAGCATAATAGAGACAGTAAGCAGAGGTGTGAGACAAGAGAGGAGTAATAACGAAGGACAAAACAGTTTCCTTAGAGATCATAAGTCACAAGGAGTGGATGCATCTGCGCCACTGAGAACGATTTTGAGCCACGTCACCAATTGTTTCCAACCATAGATTTTTACCGTCCCGAGGACCCCAGCCTGGAAGTCTACACCTTCCTACATGGCTTAGACCAACTGTTGTGGATTTCATTGACTGGTGCCAAGTTTTTGTTTGACCGCCGCCAGCTTTTTTCCAGCCTGACCCTATATCCGCTAACATCGTTCGTCGAGGGAGGCGATGACTTGGCATACGTCACAAATGTCCTAACCATCTCAGTCTTTGTAACCTCACGACTTCGTCGATTGATTTCCTCTGTTTACCTAGCACTCGACGTCTAACCTCAATATTGCTCACCTTATTATGCCACTTTACACGGGAAATAGAGCGCAGGCACCTATGATCAAAGACAGCTAGTCTTTTCATGTCTTCCACTCTCAGTGGCCAGGTCTCACAGCCATAAAGGAAGACGGACCGGGCTGATGAGCAGTACACCCGCCCTTTGGTCGATAGTCGAACATCTCGTCTACTAAGCCAGAGACGGCGTAAACTGGCAAATGCGAAACGAGCCCCCTGTATTCGTGCTGAGATTTCGTCAGAGATCAGCCCGTTGGCATTGGCTGATGGTACTTCCCAAATAAGTGAAGTGGTCAATGTGCTCTACCACTTCACTTCCTATTTCTAATCTAGGAGTTGGTGTAGTCCAGTCCTGTAACATCATCTTGCATTTGGCGGGAGCGAATCGCATGCCAAACATTCGTAGATTGCAGCTCAAGGTGTTTAGAAGACACTGCATTTTGTCAGCGTCCTCGCCTACGAGGACTATATCGTCTGCATATTCGAAGTCAGCGAGATTATTCCCTGGTAGCAAGTCAATCCCTGAGTCACTGAAGTCACTTAGGGTTAAGTCCATTAGTACATCTATGATGAAGTTGGATAGAAAAGGGGATAATGGGCATCCTTGACGGACACCACCAGTCGTCACCACTTCAGATGACAACTCGCCGTAAGCCATCACCTGGCTGTATGAGTACGATTAGAGTGCCTTAATCAGTGCAATATATTTTTTCGTCATTCCCTTTACAGCCAAGCATCTCCAGAGAACTCCTCGGTCGACAGAGTCGAATGCTGCCTTTAGGTCAAGAAATATAATGACTGTTGGACGCCGGTAGGAATGCCTATGTTCCAGAATCCGTCGGAGGGTGAAGATATGATCAATACACCTTCTTCCTGGTCTAAAGCCTGCCTGGCTCTCTCGTGTCGGCCGTACCCAGAGTTTGCTATTCAAACGTATCGTTGAACACTTACCTTTATGGTCTTGTAGAGCAGAAAAAAGATGCCTCTCACAGCTCTATCCTGAGACATCTGATCGAATCTGGATACCAAGCTAAGCCACAAACCAGCTACAAAGTCATACATAAAATACACGGAAATCATGCGAAGAGTGCGAATAGAACTTCTTCAAACAGCAGAAACATTGGTCATTCACATGTTAAATCCCGAAATCTGCATACAAAAGAAGTTTGTTCAGTCACTAGCTATATCTACAAACGATCTGTCTTGACAGGGGATACGCAAGTTTTGTTTTTTGTTTTAATTTTATTATCGTCTTTCCTCGCCCACTAATAAATTTATACTGCTTATCACCACTCTTGTTAACTCAACTGTCGTTCAATGCTGGTTGAATTCTACTCAATGACATCAATTATATTACGTCACTCAATTTGCTGATTTAATTTTATTTTAGTTCCTACCTGATTAACGCTTGCTATATTACGTAATTTACTGTCTAAAATTCACAATCCTAATGAAACATTCTTGCAAATATTTGTTTCGTTACTAAGAAAACTTACTACATATATAGGCAGTTGTACAGGTTGATAATGATATCGCTGAAAAGATTAACTCTTTGCTGAACGTCTTTCTGTAAGAATACCATTACATAAGGACAACAGACTTTCAATAAGACATAATAGACATACACTACACGCCACTGTCAAATGTGAAACACCAAGCATAGTGATTCAATATTATGAAAAGAGTTGGAAAATGATTTATACAATACTCTTGCACAAATACTTATCCATGTCGACCTTTTGTTTTAACCAAGGATATCATAAGGGAGTCAAAACAGCAATGAATAAACAAGATGGCAAAAAATATATGACCACTTTATTTATTATCTCTTAGATGATGAAAGGGATATTTAAGTTGGCAATTAATCACTGCTGCCAAGTGGTGTGGTGTAGTTGTTATTGAGTTTTGCTGGACGTCAAGACACTAATCAGTTTTACACAATAGGCTCATAATCTAAATTGTACACGGCTACGATATTATGTCTGGTATTCTATGAGCAAAAAGCAGGCATGCATATAAACATATACGTACTAATTAAAGAAATGCTTACCGTCTGAAGAGATACTTTCATCACACTGAATTTGATTCAATGGCTCACCTGTAATTATCAAATGAAAACATTTCAAATGAATATTTTCTAAAATAAAAAGATCAAATTTTACAAACTAAAGTGAACAAATTTCGCATTGTTACCTATAGAGAATCCAGCGTGACATGATAAGTTAGCAGAAGGATGATCGGATGAAGGCGGTAACAATCTATGAAGCCATTGACTTTTCGTATGAGTAGGAATATATAGGAGTGTAAACTGTCTGTGTGAAATCCACAAGAAAGCCTGAACGCATTAATTAAACACTTCAGGTTATAGGAATTTGAGTCAATTGCAGTAGAACAGATACATTTATACTTTCTTCACAACATAAGTGTGAAACTGATACATATCAGTGTCTTATTTTCTCTTTTCCCCTTTACAATGTAGCTGTGTTCATTTAAACAATTCATCTTTAACCAATGGGTCACGGATTCGAGTCCAAATGCATCCACTGAAGTTTGACTTGGAACGTAATTGCAGACCTTCATTTGTCTGTCTGTCTGTCTGGATTCAACATAGAACTTGGCACCGAAGTGCAGCAGTTCGAGTTGCCACGTTCCAAATAGCACACAGAGGTAGACAAGAAGATGAGTGAAGGGAATCAATACAGTCTGACAAATATAAGAGTGAAACAGAATGGGGCCTTCACTTGACAAATGAGGTTTATTATTTTCAGTGCCTAAAAATGCATGTCATCATTTAGTTGAGTTATTTCGTTAAGGCATTTCATTATACGAGTTTTTACTAGTATGAATATCTATTTGAAGTGTACATAAGGCAGCTTGTAGCGCTACGCCACAATTCCATTCACGTGATTCAGTTATTACGCAATAAAAAAATATTTTTTAAACATTGGAGTTTCATAACAGGTAGGATCCCAAAATGTCTTTCCAAGTAACACTTAAGTATGTTTTTCTCCTCTTTGGTTAAATATAAGATTTTGTGTATCGAAAGACGAATGAAAAACAGTATTAAGAATACGAATAGAAGAGCAATCAACATCAAGAGACAATACAGAATAGTTTAATACACCAAGTAAGTAGCTGAATAGACACACTTCAATTCACCAGAGAATGAAGACACCGGAACAAAAGTTACAAAGGGCCATTTTTCGCTCCAAAAAATAGGAAAAACGAAACGAAACGTTACTCAACAGTCAATTGCAGTTTCACGCAGGTGGCAATGAGCGGCATCTATTGTGTGAAGGCTAATTATACCAACTTTCTGCCGAAACCTCGATGGATGGGATGGGGTTTAAACATGTTGAGTGACTAAATTAATAGGTCACAGCACCAACAAAAACGGCAATCAAAATGAATCTGGCACAACTGAATCACCACAGTGACAAGATTATAGTCTTGACTGACTGGTTTCACCATAGAACTTTGCACAGATGTGCAGCAGTTCGAGTCGCAACTCTCCCTCCAATTATCATACAAAGTAAGAGAAGAGAGTAAAGACAGATTCAAAAGAGAGATAATAGACAGAAGGATGGGGTAAATAATGGTAATATGGAAGAACAACAGAGTTTTGTTGGACATTATAAATCGCAAACAGTGAATGCATCTGCGCCATTGAGAACGATATCGAGACATATCAGCAATTGTCTCTAGGCATTGGTTTTTGCCATCCCAAGAACCCCAACAAGGAAGTCTACACCTCCCGACGTGGTTGGCTTAAACTAACTGTTATAGATTTCATTGACTGATGAAGCCATGCTTTGGTCTGACCACCACCAGCTCTTTTCTAACCTGATCAGTCCTATGTTAGCTAACACTGCCCTTCGAGGAAGGCGATGATTAGGCATACGTAACACACGTCCTAACCATCTCAATCGATATAAATTCACAACCTCATCGATTGATTTTCCCTCTTTACCTAACACGACGCCTAACCTCAACATTGCTTACCCTCTTACACTACTTAACAGAGATAGAAAGCAGACACCTATGATCAAAGACAGCTGGCTAACCTTTTCATGTCTTCCACTTTCAATGGACATGTCTCACAGCAATAGGGGAGGACAGAACAAACCGCTCAGCAGTACACACGTACTTTTGTCGACAACCGGATACCACGTCTACGCCAGAGATGGCGTAATTTGGCAAATGCCACATGAACCTTCTGTATCCGTGCTGAAATTGCCTCAGCGATCAACCCACTGGCGTTGGCGACTTCCCAAATAAGTGAAGTGGTAGTAAACACGCTCTACCACTTCACTACCTATTTCTAAGCTAGGAGTCCTGTCGCATCATCTAACATTTGGCGGGAGGGAATCGCATACCAAACATTCGTAGATTGCTGCTCAAGGTGTTCAGAAGACTCTGAATTTTTTCAGCGTCTTCAACTAGAAGGACTAGATCACTTGCATATTATAAATCAACAAAATTATTCCTTGGTAACAAGTCAGTCGCTGAATTCAGTCAGTTGAGGTTAAGGCCATTAGTAAATCTATGATGAAATTAGACAGAAATGGGGACAGTGGGTAACCCTGACAGATATCACTGGTTGTCATCATTTCTGATAACAAGGCTCCGTAGGCTCTCATCCAGCTGCATGAGTTCGAGTGGAATGCTTTGGTTAGCGCAATGTATTTTCTCGGCATTACCTTCACAGCTACGCATCGACTTAGTACATATCGGCCAACGGAATAGAATTTCGCCTTAGGTCAAGAAATGTGGCAATTGTTAGACGCTGGTAAGTATGACTATGTCCCAGAATCTGCCGACGGGTGAAGATATGATCAACACATCCTTTTCTTGGTCCATAGCTTGCCTGATTTTGTCGTGTTTGCTACCCCCGAGCACTACTTAGTTTATGCAAGATTACTGAGCCTATAACTTTAGATAGCATATTGGCCAAGCTAATTCCCCTGCGATTATCACAAGAAGACTCATCTCACTTCTTGTACACTGGGATAACCAATGGATTACACCAGCCTGACTGGACTGCCTGAATTCCAGGCGCTGCCTTTCACCTTAGTCAATCCAGACAGTAAATTGTCTCCACTGTCCTTAAACACCTTTGGAGTTATTTCTGCAGGCCTCACTGCTTTATATGATGTCAGACTAGTGACAGCTTTTGTAACATCATTTAAGGACGAAGGATCTGTGTTTTTATCCCTTTCAGGGAGGTGTTGGATGCCCAGTAAGTTGAGTATGGCTGTAGGCTAGTTAAATTGTCCCTCAAAATGCTCCTTCAAGCATTTCGGTCATCTGTCCTGACAGCTAATTACGGTGTCATTTTCCTCGCAGATTGTTTCACTTATCATTTACCTTTTGCTACCTGTTTCCCTGATAAGCCTAAATAGTTGTCTGGTGTTACCTATCGTTGATGGCTTTTCCATCTCTTTCGCTTTTGTCGCCCACCACTGTTCACGGTCGTTACGAAGACTTTTTATCAGTTTGCATTTGAGCAGCTTCAGCTCTTCATCATTTTCGGCGCTCGTTGGAATCAGTCTTCTTGCATCTGTCAGACCGGATAAGGTAGCACAAATCCAGTGGCTTTCATTGAATTTTGGTTTTAGGTTGTTAACAGCCTTTACAGCTAACTATATGTTGTACCAGACTTCCTCAGGAGGAATCCAGCTATTGATCTCAGATACGCGTTTAACTATTTCTTCAACTATTTCCTTAAATAGGGACCTAGTGCCCTAATCAAGTTGGGGACGTAACTAAGACGCTGCCAACCGTTCTTCATGTCCGTTTAATCGTAAGCATAAACATGCGCTAACCAGGGCTTGATCGCAGTATACGCACGTGTTCCCGAATGAGCGATAGTTTTCTGATAGCCCTCGCCAACGATTTCCCACAACTATGTGGTTCATTTCAGTCCAACGCTGATTTGATGATAGAGGTCGTCAGGTTACACAATGTCTCTCTTCGTGCATAAGGTTAATACTTAATAGGAACAGATGTTCATTTCAACAGAATTGTAGATGATCAACGTTGTCGGTCCATTGACAGGGGACTTGGTAGGTACCACCAATATACTTCTCAGTCTGGCATAACTTCCCTACTTAGGCACTGAATTTGCCTGTTAAAAACGACTGTGTCTGAGTGTCTTGATTTCTACAGCAAACGAGACAGTTTTTAGTAGAAATTATCCTTGAATTCATCCGAACTGGTCTTTTGGGGGCGTAAGCGGAGATTATAAGGGGGAATCAACGGGTAACACAGTCCTTCCTTCCACTAACAGACCGCACACATACGACTATCTACTGGGGTCCAGTAAAGAAATGATATTTCGCCATAACGCTCAATGCTATCCCTACATCGGCGAACTAGCTGAAGTCTCCTGACACCCTTAAGGTGAATCTGCGATTCACCTTGTTGGCCGGGTAGAGTTAGGTGAATAACCACGCTCAGGTCTTGTATGCGTGTCTCCTAAACACAACATACATCCACAGCTTGCGATGCCAGAGTACTAGCTAGTGATACCTGTCTTCCTATTTCACTGAGGGTTTTGACGTTAAATGCTCCAATATGAAGTTGGCAGTGTGGCTTTAAAGGACTATCGGGAGTGTTTTTTCGGCTCTCGTCACTATTTGTGGCTAAGGAATGAAATGAAGATGACTGACCAGCCTGCAGAATTGTATAAACAGTAAAAGGAAAACAAGATGATGAGGGTGACGTGTTTAAAGGAAAATAATGATAAGGAGGGCTTCATGTGCTTTTGGAAGAGTGTGGGCGGTTGTTACTTCCTGGCTGACCAAACTGTGGAAGTTGGCTTTTTTCTTAACATGCCTGAAACAGAAAGAGAATTAGTGTTGCTTGCTCGAAGAACCCAGAGCGCAACTGCTTGAGGTCGGTCACACACGGCCTGTTTGAACTGGCTTTTAGGTTTGGTTCCGCACTAGTAACTTACCGTCGGGACCTTTTCTAACCCCATGCCTTCAGAAAGGAGAAACAGCATAGCTGAGCTGCTGGTCATCTGAGGGAAATACCTTACTGCTATTACATCCCTGTTACCCAACAGTACGACCCCCAGCATAGTGCAAAAAAATTTACACTATGTCGGTAACTGCTTTTACTTTAATCGCTATCCTAACAATCTTCCTGGCATGTTAGGACCTACGGGAGCATTAGTTGGAGCCAGTGTAGCTTGTTGGGTTTTTGCGATATGCAAGCCCGACCACCACGTCACGGTAGCAGCTATCGGTCGGGAGATACTATACTTAATGGGTAATAGCTAGTTAGGAGACTTTCAGATAATATGTACATAGTGAGAGAAACTTTTCCAACCAAATTTATGGTATAGCTGACTAGCCATTACAGCTACAGTATCGAAAGCTACCTTAGAATCAATCAAATCGATATAGGCGGAACAATAGTAAAATGGTTTTTACTTTTCAAAAAAAATGCGAAATAGTGAAGTAACAGAAAAAATACTCAGTCAATACAAACATCACAAAAGTGAAACTGAGAAGTGTTGACGCAAGTATATATTATGATTATCATCACCTCATTTCTTTTATTTTTTGTTTTAAATAGTAATCAACACTCGTGATTACCTCCTTTCTTGTTGAGTCGATACTTTGAGCTGATTTACTTTTGCGCATAGTTACACGTTGATTTGCCAGTCAATACGTATCCATGATTACTGACATCATATACCTTACAATTTATCAAAACATAAAATACTTTATCTAATTTGCGCCTCAACACAAACACCTCATATAGTCAGAACGATTGATTGTCCAAATTATATAAACGCTTGTATGATTTTGCTATATCGAATTCGAAATTACCAAACTTATGTGCAATTTACACAGTTCGACGTGATATTTTACCACAATTTACTTTGGAAACCAAAATTAACTACATCATAATATGCGATCCACTTGTTGCCATATATGGCAATCAAGAAAGCAAGCATAAATGCATGATGCGATATAGTACTTATTGGCTGATATGAGTAATTGGATGCTACTTGCATCAATCAGCAGTGCTTGTTAGCCAGATCGAAGTGACCTAAACACAGGACGAAGTTTTCGCTCGTGGCTAGGAAGCATTGATGGTGGACGTCAGTGGAACCCAACTACCATACCAACCAACTAGCAGTATATAGCGCCATGCATTTATGATTCCGCTATCACTATTTTCACCTTTATCATCCACTAAACGATAGACCTGAACTCGAATCTGACCACCAACTACTTAAGAAGATAAATTTTCAAATGTGATTAGAAATAACCAGAAATAGGTAATTGTTTAAACTGCATAGAGTAGTTTTTTTGAAAATATTCATATTATTAAGAATAGAAACTTACCTGAACGATCTGAGTCATTTAGATCTACTGAATTTTCAATTTCTTCTGTATTCACTTCTGCTGTATCATACTGGTCTGTATTACAATTTCCTTTTTTCATTTCATCAGCTGCACACATACTGCTACTACTACTTCGCCTACTGCTGTGGCTATTATATGTGCACCGTGGATGATCATTTGCTTTTTCAATTTGACCAACATTGGTTTCATGAAACTCCGATTCAGAACTGCACCGATTCAAACATTCATTGTCCGTGTCTCTATCATTGACAAAGTTCTGACGTTTTCTTTGTCTCTGAGTTTTACGTTTACGCTGGATTTGAGCATAAAGAAAGCAATAATTTGACATACTATTATTGATATTGTTGAGAAAGCAACACTTAAGTTAGATTCAATGTCTTAATGCCGAGTGGATTTCGCCCTAATGGATGTTGATAAATCCATCAATGGACAAAATCCCATACAATCTTATAATCTTTGGTACTAATTTAATTCAGATTGATAATACTTCCTTTTATTTCTTTTAATTACAGCTTGATTGCACACCGTATTTTTGATACAGGTATGAAATTTTCAGCATGTGATATCGCTAGTCCAAATTTGCAGGCCGACCATAGATATCAGGTGTGCGTCGGCAGGGGATCGACGAGTCATAACCACTGTGCCACCGACGCACAACAACACACTCTCTAATATCGCTTTGTAGGTTGATCATTACCCGAATACTTTAACAGTTAAGACTACGAATTAGCAATCACTAATGTTGATCCAAACCCTGGGGAAAATATTTCCTTCAGGATAATAACAAACACGTAAGTTAGGAAGAACATGAGTTCTTGTAGACTTAATACTGAAGTTTCATAATAAAAGAAAAAATCCTCTGATTTCGAGCTAAGAAAGCTGACTCTGTGTACTTAAGTTGGATAGTACACGTTAGGCATATCCAGCCTTCTGTTTTTGAAAGCTGAGTGCCTAAACGAACTACTTACACTCCCACGATCGAACACATCAAAATGCTTTTATCCGAAAAAAGTGCAAGATACAAGCAGCTTAACAGGACGTTAAAGATTTCCTTAGTGGTTACACACATCTTTTCCTAGCCGACAGACTATGAGAAGCACAAAATGAGATACCATTCAGTTATCAATTTGCATGATCTATAATCATGTCACAAAGTATATTATCACCATCAGTTATGCAAAAACTGAAAAAATATGCCGGGGAGGATGATAATAATAAAAATCAAAATATGTCCTCCAAATAGCAATACTAACCTCTTTCTTTCGAAGTTGTTTGGAACTGGTCATACCTATAAAGTAAAAGGAGATAAATATAGAAATCATTTGGTCGGCCAGTAGTTCACACAGTAGAAGGAGCATAATTGAATACATATAAATACTTAACGAACGATCTTTCAAAGAAATTTTTTACCTTGAATGTATCACGCGTGATGAGTGTTAAGACAGCAGAACTAAAAAACGATACTAGTTCATGAAACCAATTGCCGTAGTCGTTAATTTACAATAAGATTACGCCTTCACAAGAGTTGAATACATTACAGAATTAGGGTGCCCGTTTGTAGTCTAATTTGTCTGTTGCCATGTAGCAATCAACTTTAATAAGTGACTGGCATCAAACACAATACGAATTTTGAGTCATTAACGGTTGTGTTACTTCCCTGTATAAAAAAATTACAAAAAAATATGACTTCACAAATATACTGACTTAAAGCAGAGCTCTTTTCTATTATAGCATCTCTAATTACATGGTTTTTCTGCATATGTGAAGTTGCAATTTATTGGTTCATTTATTCGAATCTCAATACATTTACAGCTATATGATCATTAAGATTTATAGTACCTCACACAAGAGGCACATAGCTACATGGTTGCACCATCATGATGACCTCTTATGACAGTGCATTCTCGTGAAAGATTAGTTCAAATCTAGGCAGCATAGAATTAGAATAATAAAATACCTATTTTTAGACCCACCTTTAGAAAATTGCTTCCCTGTAGATTCGTTTTGTCTGTGCCTTGGAACGTTTGTTTCCAGAATGGACAATGAAAGGTCGAGAAACGGTTCAAATCTAGGACGAACAGTACCACAACAGCAACATTCTAATGTGCTTATAAGAACACCCCCAAAAAGACGATCCACAATTGTAGCTACTGAAGCAGACTTCCCCCAACTGCGAACCGCCTCTCTTTCGTCATCACGAATATCCTAATGAAAGCAAAATAATGAAAATCTTTCTTGGTCTTATCCAACTACACCGTAACTGATACTAAGTATGAACACGTAGGCTAAAAAATTCTAGACTTATTAGACATGGTTTTTATTAATATGAGGGTGACATTTGCAGAAATACCAAACACCCCAGAGAAGAGAGAGACGTACGGGATTCTATTGAAGACCATGAATAAAAAAGGGAGAGGTTGAAGCAGCTGTAGTAGGTTTAGGGTCCATTTCATTTTATAATTCATTTAGCCAAAACGAGCTTTAGATGTCCCAGGCTATCAAGCACGCGTATTGGTAAAACTCGACAAATTAAAGTGGAATTCGAACCCGGGGCCTAGTGGTTGGAAGTCTAATTCTATAGTAAGTGAGCGAAATTTTTACAGGAACCAGTTTAGCTATGACAACGTTCAGGAACTAAAATCTATTTTATTGATATAACTCCAACTACAATGAAATTGTTATTAATCAACTACAGCATCTGCCGATGAGCAGCACAATTATAACTGCATCCTCGTCTACAGTCTACTCACTCGGGTAACCATACCATTTTGGGGATATCTGGCAGATGAATATGGGAACGATTTCACTAAACAACACCAACAGCCATATGAATGGTGGTGTGAAAAGAATCCAAATATATCAAACAAAATGCACATTGAGTCAAACGTAAGAATAAACGTGTCTGTGTGACTAAAATCACATTGTTTCGGAAATTAACACAAGTACCTTCCCTTCTACTAATTACGAGCAGTCAAGAAATATAACCTTGGTGGATAACAGGGTAAAAGGTTTTTCATAGGATTTAAGAAATAACCAACCTTTGGGTTGACATTGAGTTTGAGCAAAATGCCTTTCTTCCACCGTGTAAGTTCCTCCTGCTTCATACAGTCTAGTAAAGAACGAATAAATTCATGACTATCATGCTGCCTGAATCCCCCGAAACGTGGGCAGCGCTCAATGAAAATACTCCTTAAAAGCTGAATTTAAAAGATTCAAATTACTATTATTCAACTAACTGTTGGACTCAATGTAGCAGCAGAACACGTTTTGGAATTAGGCGTCTGAATAGGCCGTAGAACCGAAGAAATCTCTTTGAAATGTTCAGTAAGTGTACATTTCATAGGTGGCAGGGAAATGGATAATGATGACACAGAATCCTAAAATACTGCATTTGTATTTCATTACCTTACCCCATCAGGTTTTGTTAAGGTGAGCTCGCGTGGTTCGTCCGCAAACAACAATTCCGGAAGCCATGGACTCCTCGAAAGACACTGTATTCCTGCGTTGAAATAACAAGTATTGCCTAGATTATGAAGACCCTGAAAATAATTTCAACAGGTGAATTACCTTGACTGAAACAGTGTCCTTTGAATTTTTATTAACAACTGTTTTACTGTCTAAATTTATGAAACTCGAAATACTACGAAACTACTGTCTTGGATAAAATATTGTCGGCTTTCCCTTTTATTCCTATTTTTCTTCCCCATTAAGTAGACAGCATGACGTAACGGCCACTTCAAAAGCACCTCTCTTTACCAATGTTCAGGAAATTTAGATTCTTTTTTCGAGGGGGGTATAGGTTGCTTCAAGTGTACTTCTGTGTTTTAACTGGGCATTTGTGCTTAAGGAGTCTCTTTAAGGAAAAGCCAGTTACAGACGGAGACTTAATTCCAGGTGTTATCAACATAATGCCTAAAGGGTTCTAATATTACAAGCTAACACTGAGTGATAGTGTGATGTAGTGTTTGTGTCATAAGCTACTGACATGTCCGGGTTCATGAACGTCTAACATGAAGGAGGACGAACCCCTTATATATCCTGACAGTTGCACGCTCGATGCAAAAGCAGACATATATTGCTAAGTTGAAGGGAAGCCCATACTGTCTAGACCACCTTAACAGCTCATTGATACCTGTTTCACATGTCGGGTGTATGAGAGTCCTTAAAAACCTGTCTCCGGATATTAAGTTTATCAGTGCACAGAACCATCGGACATTGTTGAGAACAAATGGCAAGAGTAAACAATAGACACCAAAGTCAATTTGATCAATCAGACAGCTCAGAATTAAAAATGGTTGCTAGTCAAAATTCTCGCTGAATGTGTCTCTTAGGTTTGGTTTTCGACTCCTCTGTGGAAAATGTGTTGATAGGGAAGAATAAAAACAAGCATATTTGGAGGGATAATGACTCTGCAAAAGTATTGCCGGGATACTGATGGTTATACATTCAGATGCAACCACACTGTATGAGGAAGTTTGTATAAGTTTGTAAACCGTACATAATTAGTGACTATTTTTGACACTTTCTTTTCGAGATCGAAGCTCTCCCTCAGTAATATGCTACGTAAATTTAACCACTATCTGCAACAGCTGAAGAAACAGAGGATACATTGGTTTAATCTGTCTATAACCACTTCTATGCGAATCTGGAACCAGTTTTGGCAGCATATTAGAGATACAAACCCTAAATGATTCATTTTTATTACACATATTTCGTAGATACACTTGTTTGTAAATTCAGTACCAATTTCCTCCTAGAAGAATCTGATTGGCTGTTTCAAGGTCGTCTAAAGTTGGTGTCTGTTCTTTAGTGTTGCCGAACAGATAACTCGTTCAAATATTGTACGATACCCTATTCAGTAGCACTTTACACCAATCTCCATCAATAGACTTTGTAAATGATCGTTAAATTTAATATCTCTGACAAAAAATGAGTAGGCCACTTGTTGTTTTAAGACAATCTTGTTATTAATGTGGTTGGAATTTTTCGGCACATCGGTTGAAATTTCGCATGGTGGATTTATTTGTTAATAATTTTCAATAAAATTGTGATATATGGTGGGAACTCCCTTTTTCTGACGCTAACTGTTGGTGTCCGGGTCATGTAATGCTACTGGGGCACGCTGCTTAGCACATTTGACGCAGTCATTTGTGTTTCTGATGGACTGTGTTAAAGTATTTTTACGATGGGCAGGGTGTAATAATTGTGGAATCATACCATCTACTTCTTCTACATCTACTAACACCAACATATAACCAGCATTATTGGTGTCAATCACGTCTCAAAAACCGTTAATGCCCAGCTCTTGCTACGCCGGGCCTCACGCTGTCCCTCGAAGCCTTTCGGAATCGCTCAGTACTAACGGACGCAAAAACCAAAACACCGATTAGCGACTCGAGAATTCTTTATTCTAACACCAACATATAACCAGCATAATAAACTAAGGTCTAAGAACAAATATTACAATAATAAATCACGACATTATTTCTGACAGTTTTTTTCTAGGTCCTTTCCCAACAGTGACCGATGAGACGATGACTGGTGTATTGATGCCTCCGCGAAAATTATGGGAAAGTTAGGTTTAAACAAACAACCATGAATTGATCGTTCAATCTTCAACTACATTGACACTCCCCGGCAAGAAAGGGATCCATCCCTTTTTTCCATCACGACCAATATACGTTAACTTTGATTCCAGTGCGAGGAACTGGGTCACACGGACAAAGCTGAAATGGAAAACAAACAGAAAAGCCAACACACCACAAGCATACCCACAGCACAATCTCACACATCGATGATGACCTACGCCTTCCAGTTAAAGGCATCCTCTTGACATCTTGCAACACAATCGTCACTTGCTAGAATGACTCCTGCAGAACGCAACGTTACCATAGCAGCACCTCATGATACTCTACGCACATCCTCTTATCTACTCACTACCAATTACCACTGAAATCGCTTGTCACTCATTCTCCCTCAGTTCTAGTAACGGTGACGTGTGCGAGCCTCAGTCGTTTACACTCTTTCTCCCCTACGTGTGGGACCGCAGCTAACAATTATCTCCGTGTGCATTTCATTCTCAGAAATAGCTTAGCCTCCCCGGCGTATACGACCCATCTGCTGTCTCTAACATCAATCAATTCATTCACGAACGTAGAAGACTCGAAACAACTTCAGAAGTAATCACGACGAAAATTTTAACAAAATTACGCAATAACAACAAGGTACGAAAACAACGAGTAAACACAATGAATCCAAAAAACACCAATTGAAATGACACACCACATGTGTTTACAAACAGTACAAATAACCTCACTGACCATGTCTCATGTAATTCCTTTGAAGAATTGCAGGACTTACAGCAGTACGCCTATATTCCTTCTCAGGTTGACGCCCTAGGTTGGAAAATCGTCGAAGAGTTCATTTGCTGACTTCCTTCTATCAGCTATATCCTCAAATCTGAACGGTAACACGCTCATGTCATTGTATCGTAGAATATAGATGACGAACAAACACACGACGCATCTGGTCAACCAAGCGCAGGCACAGAGTAATTTACACCAGAGATAATAGCATTCAAATAGTAACTTGGAACTTGAAAAACCTTTATTCATGCAAGTCAATTTAACAATTACCCTCTCGTACACACTTGGCTTATCCTCACTAAACCCAGCAATATCTTTCGTCTTTTCAAATGCACCAATACTATCAAAGTCATTGAACAAGATACTTGAGTTGATGGGCGTCTTTTTCATTTTGGATGACAACACCAGCGACAACTGATTGATACCAGTTGATGAACTTAGCGGTGGATCAGAAGCTGTTGTTGTTCGGCTTTCAAATAGTTGTCTAACTGCAAGATTACCACCACTGCTGTCTTTTACTGTCAGCTCCGGTTTAGCACTAGCATCTGATGATAGGTGGGCTACGCGCTGATCAATTACACTGACGGTCTCACAAGTATCCATACCTTCTGCAACTGCATCTGCGTTTAATTCTGCTTCACGTTCACGGTGTACAGAACCTTTGTTCAACTCAGTAGTAGTAGGCATTCCCCTCATCTCATCGTGGTCAACCAAAGATAAGTGTGCACTATCATGATCGTTATCACGAATATTCAATTTACCGTCAATTTCATCATTTTCAAACTCTTTAATAACAGAAGTAGACAACTTGGGTCCTTCCTCACAAATTCTTAAAGGCTTAAACCTTTACTCAGACTAGTAATACTTTGTAAACTTGTGGAGTCAGAACTGGACTGTGAAACTGTAACTCTCTTCTTCTGCACAAACTGCGACGTCGTCTGTGACACTCTATTCAAGAATAGCTTACCAGTTGCAACTACAGGCTTCTTCACTGTACCATTATCGTCACACGATTCGGAATCAGAACTTGATTACGCTGACTTCGCATTTAGCTTACAACTAAACTTGCTCAGTGCTTCACAGCTCACCTTTGCATGCACTTCTTGCAAACGGACGAAACACAACCGTGTTCGTCTTGCAACTTGTAACGTATCTGTTAGAGACGTTCCACGAAAGCTGTTACAATCATTAGGTTTGTATGGATTACTAGACATCATAGAGTTTTCTCGATATCCACTTCGCTGAGACCCCTTCGTTATAAATGATTGTGGTTTGCTCTCAGACTGCTCTATCCCAGGGGTGGGATGCAATATACTGGCAAACTTGCTCATAGTCTGATTGACATTATCTGTCACTAATCTCGGTATATCGTGGAACCTTGGCTCTAAACCTCCATCCTCTATACGAGAGCTTATCTTCACCCACTTCCTTTGCAGTCGAGTAGGTAGGCGTCTCGCTATTAACTCTAGGACAGAATTCGAGCTCAGGTCGCTCATGCAGTTCATCGAAACCAGCGTATTCTTGAAGGTCATCAGATTATCCAGAAACTCAGATAGTGCCTTGGAGCCATCCCGTAATTGACTACCATTACCTTTAACAGCCTCGAATACGTTCCTTACAATCGTCGAAGGTCTTCCAAACCTTTGACGCAGGATACGTAAAGCCTCCAAATATCTCTCTCTAGGTGTTAGAAACTTGCGACACTGTATTACGCTCGCCGTACTATCAGCACAATACCTCAGCATGTACATTAATTTCATTTCATGACTTATTTTCAAACCCTCTAGCATGACTTCGATTTCCTTCACAAAGTGAGGAAAGTCAGCAGGACACCCTTGAAAGCACCCAGACTCGAACTTCAGTGACTTTAAGCAACTCATGATTATCCAGCATAACTTCAGACGTCATATTACACACATTAGACAGATCGTCAAGACTAACTTTGTCGTCTACCTCCAAAACGCCTCTTCTTTTCTTTGGCCCAGGCATTATTGAGCGCTACCAAGAGATTCAGAAAAGTTCCAAACAACACTCGTCCAAAGAAAACTAGCGTACATGAGGAAAGAAGAACTGATAACAAATACGGCGAATAATTCCAGGAGCTATCAGAAACTTTAAATGTTCGGGTCTAACTACACTGGAACAAACGCTGTCCTTTAGAAGACCTTCAGCAACAATGTGCAATAACCAACGCGAAAAAACAGAACACATATTGGTGACTGGAGAATCCTTTATTCTTGAGCCAATATGGAGCCAACCATAAGGCTATTATACGCAAAGTCTAAGAATGAATGTTATAACAATAAATCACGATAATACTTCTGATAGTTTTTTATCTTCCA